AATTTTTTCGATATCTATTTTTTCACTGTCTAATTTTCTAGAAACAACGTCTTTTCAATCCCAAAAATAGAATTCTAGAAAAATCACAGTCATTGTCTCACGTTCAGCATAAAAGTGCACAGATCGTAATTATTCACTTTAATTTGTTATTTTACTTTGCAATAGACGCTTGTAAGGTGTACTATAATGCAAAGCGAGCATTTCGGTCGGGTGAAGCAACCCGAAGCCGTTTCTTTGTGATAGCATGGTCTCTTGGGTTTAATTCGTGGCCTCTGGCGATTCGTGAAATGATTTGATTACATTTTGTTGTCGAATTTTTGCATTCCCACGAAATCGCACAGAATTAGGTTTTTCTCTTCTAAACCTCCAGTGATTCTATAGAAACCGAGCGTTACTTGAGTTGTACTGTCAACATGTTTGCCCTTTCAGATATTCGATGTCTGTCATTTTGAAACAGAAATTAAATTTGAGGTATCAACGCATATTTTGTCGACAATGATAGTAGCTAAAACCATTACTGTGTCATCTGTGTGATAAACAGAAGCATTGAAAGGGCAAGTGCTAAAGTTAAAGAACAATTTCTATATACATATCTTTTTTAAATGTTTTATTACCTGATTGGCATTGATAGATCGTGAATTACACAAATAATTGACGAAGACGTTTATTACTATTTCGAATGACAGAGAAGGTTTCCTAAATTAACATACTTGTAAAATAATCAGTCTTCGTGTAGGCAATTCCTGTCTACATGTTGCATAATTGCATGCTATCTGGCAATTGAATTTTCGAAATCTGAGGAGTGCATGCATGCTATGAGAGCAAAGTGTATATTTTTGATCATAATATTGAAATTGCAAATTTGTTTCATGTCCAGTGCTGATCATTTACAAGTCGCCGGATTCTTTACTTTGCTCTAAGCCACACCTTGTTATCACCTAGATAATTCGGGATCTGTAACCGCTTTTTAACCACGAAAAGAGTCTCTTAACTTCTCAATGCCCTAACGTTTTAATGAACAATTTATTAGTTGTATTATTCAATTATGCTTGTCAACGGTGCCTATGCCCACTAACAGGTTAAACGAATTAAGATGGCTTACCACAAAAAGAAGAAATAAGAACGAAAATATAATGAAATGCCTGAAACCAATCTTGGCGTAAAACATCAGATGTTTGTTAGTGAAAAGTGAAGCTAAATTCAAGAGGAGTATAACATGTTTTCTCTCTCGGAATTCAGGATGACTAAGAGAAATTAGTAGAGATTAATTCGAAGCCATATTTCATCAATCGTTAAATTAGTTACATTGGTAATTTTAATCAGAACAGAACAGTTCTTAGATTGAATTAACAAAAAGAAAATTCAAGACGATATTGGTTTCTTGCGGTTTCATAACACTGGCGTAGAAAAGGTGGTTAACTTTTAAGAGCTGTGTACAATTCGTTAAATTTCGATAAAAATACCCAGTTTATTCATTTTACTATCTTCGGACCGAGCAGGCCTAATTACCATGCAAAATTGCGATGCAACGCGATTTATGAAGGAATTTTCTGCTGATGTGTTTGTCAAGATTTTCAGAGAAGCTGCATATTGAAATGGCGGAATAGAAACCAGAGAAAAGTTAAAATTAAAAAGTGACCCCGACTCGGTTAGTCTTCTTCTGCCAGAGACGAACTATTTGATTTTTACTTTCTTTGCTAATTTGGTGCATGTTCAGGTAGCTTAGTCAGATTTCGTCTAACCCTCGTCCGTAAAAATCACCCCTTTTCTATGCCTGACAATTATGGCACTTTAGTAATTACCAAAACTAAAATAGCTCTTATACGCACGGTAGCGATTCACTACAACCCAGGCCACATATATATGAGCGCGCTTGGAACCTTAAGAGCTCTCCTAACAAGACCTTATAGAGAATTTAGAAAGTTTAAAATTAAAATACCTTCCCAGCAGTAAGGATTTTTGTCTTAGAAGGGCGCCAAGCCACAAATTGTTGCTAAAGACCCACAGGTATAGCTTCAAGTAATGTGCAACTGCTGCGGAAGGAAAATTGGCTTAGGATTCCGGCTAATTTCCACATACTGTACGAGCCAATGGTGAGAACAAGCGGTTAATCAAGCACGCTATGGTTGAAGGAGTTCATAATTTCTGCTCGATATATAGAATCAGGTTCGCCTGAAATACCAGCGCTTAAAATTCTTAGGTAAACAGACACAGTACTGATAGAAATTCAACTCTCGAGTTTCGTTTTTATTTTTTTCACGTGCAATTTGTATAGAACTCAGCAAAAATTCAAATAACGGCTTTAAAAAACTACTAAAAGTCGATTAAAACTTTCGTACTTTTGTTCTAGTTATTGCAGTGTAATCTTCCCGGCTTAGGTACGATTAACAGACTAAAAGGCGGTAGTTACAAAGGGAATATGGAAGGGAAAGGCACGTGAATCCGTCAATTATATTTTCGCTCGTGGATTCCTTTCGCTACAATGGGCCATAGTCCATACAGTAGAGCTATCTTTTTTCATGTAAAGTTTATGGTCATAGGCAAAAGTTGAGTCTCTGCAGGGAGCCTTAACATATATTTTTCACATCGTTAAATTCAATGCCATTCAAAAATCAGATTCACGGAGGCGAGTTTATAAGTTAAGTACTCGGCAAGCTTATCTGTTGCGGTGACCTGCCCAAGGACGAGCCTTATGTCGGGAATAGTCTCCGCGCCAGCAAGAGGTAAGCCTTTCAGCGAGACCTTTTCTGCTGATTTTTTAAGACGTAATTCAGTTTTTACCGCATCTTGGCTTTTTCTAATCACCTTTACTTTTCGCCCGTTGTTCGAATTATTGACAGCCGCATCGGGTCAGCAAGTTGCGTTGTGAGAATTTTCATCCATATTCTCCGCTATATCAGAAGGCCGAAATGGATTATACAGTATTCGTCCATGCAAACCGAAACATTGTAATCGAGACAAAAACCAGTTCTTTTCGCAAGAGTAACCGATACAAAACTGAAAACCATCTCTCTTGAAGCTGGAAATGTAACTTCCCCTAACTGATGTATTATATGTTTTTGTACCGTTGATTTTGAGAATTTCGTATTAAATCAAAGCAATGCCCCGGTTGACACTTTTTTCATGCCCGCCATCTTTCTGTTAAAGGTTGTCTTTATGAAGGAGAAAATCGAATTTGATCCCTCAAGTGGGTTGTTTTTGATGATTTATGTCATGAACAATTTTATTGCAAGAGTCGTCGTGACTTACATTAAGAGCATGAAAAACAAATGTCTTTCTAGATGCCATTTTTGCGTGTTTTTCTTTCTTTTTTACAGCTTCCCGGCAAAGAAAAATAAACGCCCACGTGGCGGCAAAATTCCATCGGTTCTTCGGCTTCAATCGAAAACCAATGATCAAACCGTCAGCTTGATAATGAGGTTTTGTCTAGGACGGAGTGTTCCAAAAGCCACGGCAATTGTCTTGAATGTTCCCCAACAAGACCGAAATTGTGTAATTACCCAGTTTTGGCGAAATGACACTGACATTTTGTTGGCTTCATCGTGAGTCGCTTTCACAGACGGTCAGTGTCAACCAAGGGCTGAATTTCTAATCTTCGCTTTCGCGTCACGCGAAATGTTTTTTTCATATTTTTATCGCTCGGCTTTGAGATTTGTATAATATGACCTTCACCAGACAGCAACGAAATAAGCTGCGATAACCCAAAGCGTTGGCAATGGGCCTACCGGGGAGTATTTTGATAGCACAAACGCATCAACTGCTTGTTTTAATTTGACCCTCATCTGGCACTTTTCTCACAGATTTGTTTTACTAAGAAAATGATCTTGCCTTTCATTTCCGCGGGTGGTCTAATTTATTCGGTCATTCTCAGCGAATCTTCCCCGCTGAAAGAAAAAAAAAACATAAAAAAATAGAGTAAAAGAATGAAGGAGAAAAAAAAAAAAAAAACGCGACAGCCGCGTGGGTTTGTTGTAAACGAAAAGCAATTTGTATTCAGTATTTATCATGACAAGCTGGGTTTTTCGCCACAAATTACCGAACTAGGCTCTGTTCAGGCCAGAGAATGGCATTCCATTAAACGTCAAAATTATTACTAAATAGCCGGAATCCTGAAACACCACGCCTGGTTCTTTGGCGAGCGCGAAACAGCAGCCATTGTGGTTGTTTACACTCAACGAGCGCTTTCATCTCATAACTCTTGCATGAGCCATAATTCCAGTGGTCTCTCATTAGCAGGTAAAAATTACAGCAACAAGCAACCAAAACCACAACCATTGACGGACCCTCGGGGGTAGGTTAGGGTGAAATATTATCCGGGCAAATGGCACAAATAAAACGAACAAACAACCCAAACTAAACAACAAACAACCAATATACGTATACAAAATCTGACACGCGAAATAAGGTGACTTCTTTTTAATTTCTTTCTCGTGCTTGTGCCACAGAGAGAAACGAAGGACTATTTTGACACATCAGACCAGTTTGATTGCGAACATTTTCTCGAAAAATCTTTCCAGCTTGTTAACGAATTAGTATTGTAAATGAAACTCGACCCTTCAGGTATCAACAACTAGTCAAAACAACGACACGCAACTTTTGCGTTTTCTGCTAACTAAATATTGTTGCCAGGTAGCGAATTTGTTCCATTTTAGATCTAATTGAACTGTTAAACACCAGAGAGTTGTTTTCTGTTGTTTCCAAAGTTTTTCGTCGGTGTGTAGAACATTTAAAAAGTCAGTAGGTCAATACCGTATAATAAAACCACTTCTCTTCGTTGAGCTAATTTTTCAGGAGGCTTTTTTAGCTTTAGCTTAATGCCGAGTTGGCGTTTGTTAACGATAGCTGTCATATTTATGTATAAACGTTTATGCGAGATGAAGTTTTGCATATTTGTTTTTTATTTTTTTTATTTTTTTCCGCTATCACAATAAAATCTTCCGAGAAAAGAAAATTTACTTTTCGCTTCAACGATTTTAAATATTTTTGAAGACGAAGTGGACCGTGTCCAAGCACATATCGGCTTCGAGAGCTATCCTGACAGGGAGATAGACGGGTGTGTTTTTGGAAACAGCAGGTTTCCATCAATGGTGTTACTATGTAAATTTCTAGCTCTGTCTTGTGTAGTTCAAATTTCAATCGCGCGTGCCCAACAACCTGGGAGCGACATTTGTAATTGCTTCGCCGTTCCGACATCTTCTGCTTGGTTCAAAAGAATGCACGGCCGATCGATAACATCACACCGTTTAACGGCGCGATAATTCGGCGAGAAATTACAAGCCGCACTCGTAACTGCCATAACAATCGAATTTGCTTGACTGCAAATTCCTTTCTTCGTGAATAGATCGCTTCGACCCAGTGCCGCGTCGAGAATTTCGCGGAGAAAACGAGAAGTTCAAAGAGGGCTGGCGAAGATTAGTATTTTTTGGCCTAAATGTGACCACGTGTTAAGAGAAATCGCCTTTGGACACGATAACAATGACTTTGGAGAAATTGCGATGAACGTTGTGGCTGCATAGCGGTATTTATGGCAATATGTTTCTTGACTCTATGTTCTGAGGTGTCAACTCGAGTAACATTTAACAGTGTTATCTGGCGTCGTGTACGTGCACTGTATCTACTGCTACAGCCTCTGTCAGATGGCATCAGAATTCTCTTTCATAACGTGAGCCACCCAAGTAAGTTGTATTGTGCTAGAGCGATTGTGCGTTGTTTTAAGAGGGCGATTCGCGAGTAGAGCGTATAACATACCGCTCGCGAGTACAGCCTAGTCTTAGTATAAAACATCTGCCCGTGTTTCAGCGCGCCAAGGAAATTTACATTTCACTCGGAGAAGAGAGCGCCAAATTCGCTTTCGAAAATTGACTCTGTGTTGTTTAGAGGACAAAAGCTGCTTGTGGATCGAGCTGAACGCATCAACTGACTGCTAATAACACGGGAAACATTTCAAGTTCTAGTGTGTTTACATCCCTTATTTACATTTCCTGTTTATTGAAGACGTGATAATTTATTCAGTGAATTAATAAATTACAAGTTTAGATCTAAAAGGAATCAATAATTTATGAGAATCGGGCCCTTTCAGTTTTAGAAGCGGGACATCTTCTCGAATTTTAAATTTTCTCGTCGCTTATTTCAAGGATTTTTCTCGCCCGTGAAAATGTCGCGGTATCGCTACTTTCGACGGCACCGCGCTCGCAGAAATCCCCTTTTGGTTAGTACTTCATGTCAATTATTAATCAAGTGTTTCTCCTCGCATCCGGGCTCTAGGTTCGCCGTATTTAACAGATCGTAAATTGGAGTTAGACGCTTTATCAGGGATGTCCTCCATGACAGCGACTCCTGAAAGGCAGAACTCTTCGAACTATGTGTGCGGAAGCAACAGCACAAACGCTACCACGGTCTACCGCGACCCACAGACAGGCTCCATCACCCTGTCCGGCATCAAGCCTCAGATTATGGCGACGCAAGAAGCGAGTGCCGACAGGTTTGTTATCAACGTTAGTGGCTTGAAATTTGAAACACACGCTCAAACGCTAGAACAATACCCGGAGACCTTGCTAGGGAATGCAGCCAAGAGAAGTAAGTACTACGATTCAGGTCGGAGTGAGTACTTCTTCGATCGCAATCGGCCTGCTTTCGACGCGATTCTGTTCTACTATCAATCCGGAGGGAAACTATTACGACCAGCGAATGTTCCTATGGACGTGTTTGCTGACGAGATTCGATTTTACGAGCTCGGCGAGGACATTTTACACAAAGTAGAGCAGGAAGAGGGTTACATTGAGGAGGAAAAACCCATTTTACCCGAAAATAAACTACAGAGGAAGATCTGGCAATTGTTTGAATTTCCCGACACGTCTTTAGGAGCACGTATCATTGCCATATTTTCAGTTGTTGTGATTACGCTTTCAATAGTGACATTCTGCGTCGAGACCCTCCCTCAGTTTAGGAAGGAAGACGACGGAGAAAAACGAAAACAGCCGTGGTTTTCGTTGGAGACAGCGTGTATAATATGGTTTACGTTTGAATACTTGATGAGGCTAATCTCGTCGCCTCAGAAGTTGGTTTTTGTACGATCGTTTCTGAACCTCATCGATATTGTTGCTATTTTACCTTACTACATAACGCTACCGATGCAGGACACGAAGGCGTCCAGTTTCGGGGTGTTGAGGGTGATCCGTCTGGTGCGCGTATTCCGGATTTTTAAATTATCGCGACATTCCAGAGGACTACAAATTCTAGGACACACATTGCGCGCAAGTTTGCGCGAGCTAGGGCTTTTAATTTTCTTTCTTCTCATCGGCGTCATCTTGTTCAGCTCGGCGGTGTATTACGCGGAAGGAGGCGAGACGGGGACGCATTTTAGGAGCATTCCCGATGCATTTTGGTGGGCCGTAGTCACAATGACGACGGTTGGTTATGGGGACATGAGACCCATCACTGTATGGGGAAAGATCGTAGGGTCACTATGCGCCATTTCCGGCGTGCTGACCATCGCGCTTCCGGTGCCTGTTATAGTGTCGAATTTTAACTACTTCTACCACCGAGAGAACGAACAGAGGGCGGCTGAGGCCAGCAAGAAAGAGAAGGACCGCAAAGAGCAAGAACGAATCCAAAGGGAGAAAGAAGAACAAGAACAGGAACGAAAGTATGGGACGGTTGATCATAATGGAATGAACGGCCCCGAGTCGACAGGAATTGAGATGGAAATGTTAACTTCACTGGACAGTATTCCATCCAATTTCAACAAAGGGCATAAGAACAAAGCCAACACGGCTGTCGTCTCCAATTCGATGCCTTTAGTCGACTATCCCGATGCTACTATACGATTTGAAACGGGGGTGTGACTAAAAAAGCCTTCCCTCTTTATAGCTATTTAATTTGGAGGTTTTTGGGGCAGGATTGGGAGTCACCACAACTTCCAGATAACAGGACTGCGTCCAAGAAGGAGCAGAGAGAGAGAAGATCACCGAGAGCTGAATCCCCAAAGACCTACGACCATGCGAGCAGGCGATTTGCGTAGCAATTCGCGCTTACCAGCAACACCTCGGAAACGCCAATTGTGCCATGCCGTGAGATTTTTCCTCTCGGTATTTCGTGATGTAAAGATAAATTGCTAGCGACCTGCTGTTAGCAGGGTGAAACAAAAAGACAAGGATCTCTACAATGCTGTTTGGAAGGAGTGCAGCAAAACAAACTCCTGAACAATCCAAGGATTCGATGCCTTGACTTCGAGAGATGGATGAATTCATTTTTTTTATATATAAAATTCACTAATTTATAATTGATATGCTGCACAAAAGGAAGCACAGTGCTTCGGCCAAAGAACGATGAGCAAAAAAAAATAGTTTGTACATGAATTAAAGCAAAGCAGTTCTGCTGTGAAAACGAAAAGCGAGTAGATAGACAGATAGCTAAAATAATGCAATTCTTTGCGGACAGCTAAGTGGTCCAATTCTTATTTTATTCTTCGGTTGCCCTAGGTGAAAATAGTACGAGCCAGAAATTCTTGGCTCGTATACGAAAGTTCTGAATATTTCGACTGAATTAAGCGGTTTTTTTCCCCTACCAGTCCAGCATGTAATGTAAGGCCTTTTCCAAACCTTAAAATGCCAGAAACTTAAAATTACTTGAGCTGAAATTTCGATCGATTCTTGGAAGGGAGCTGACCTGATTGCTGTTATGATAGAAGTTCGCGGAGGTAATATTTGTAAGGAATTTTAGGCAGTGGCAAAACATTTTCAGATTCCAAACCCTTAAGAAAGTGTCTTTGGGTTTACATGTGGTTTGTGATTGAACACGATGGAGGAAAGAGAAAAACAGAACAGATCTATAGCGATACAATGATAACGCTGACATGTTGTGTAAAACAATGTTGATTGAAAGGGATTCACGCGAAATTTGAGGTAACGTCAAAATAATTTGTGAAGGCTTATAGGATACTGAACAGAATCAAAAGCATGTAGTTTGGGAACTTCAAAACTAATCATGAAATATAAGTATTCCTGGTGAAATATGCGAAGCTACTTGCAGCAAAACCATATCATATCACTTCGGAGCTGCGATGGAAAATTTTAATATGGAAATAAAAATAGTTTCCTGTCGGGAGTGAGAAATGATTTTTAACAAACACTGTGTACCAATAAAGAATTTTGTTCAAGACTTCTGGCTGGAAATGAATAAGTTCACAGAGCTGTAATAGCAGTGTCGATTAAAAGTAGTTCTCATGTTTATATTTGACACAAGACATTCAGGCGGCGCCTAGGATTTAAATATAAGCGATGTGGCGATCTACTAAATTTTTTAAAAATTTCGTGAGGCGACTGATTTTTATTTTGTCGTGTATTCTTTTGCATTAAAGATGAAATGTTGGTGATTTAGTTTAGCCTTTAATTCAGCACGTCCGAAGACAGCATGTTGTTTTCTTGTTCAAATTAAAACTACGTTTTTCAATTCTATGAATATTTTTACTTCTCCATTCTCGCTTTTCACTCGAAATACCGCGCTGTGATTGGTTTGAGAAAAAGTTGTGACTTAAGAATCACCCCACACTTTCATTAAAACTCGAATTGTTTACTTCCAGTTTTTAAATAACCGAATCTTACAGCAGGCTGAATCAGAAACGAAGTGCTTTTGTTACGAAATAATAGTTGCGTATGTTCTTAAATGCATTTTGTTCAAACGCTCGTATATCACTTACAGGAATTGAGGACAACACAGTCAATAAGGAAACGTGGAGTTGTAATCTGTAATTGGTAATGTTTTAGATATTGTTGCAATGTGATTTTTTGTACACGTCCGTTTATATTAATTGTCCCTCGATCAATGCTACGGTTTTGGTTGCCGATAGCACATCTCTTATCTTCAAAAATGAATAAATTTACGGCGGAATCGCTTTCAGTTTTCGACTATTTCGAGTTAGAAAATTACAGATTTGACCGCGAACTTATCTTTGTTTATAGAGGAATGAACCCCAGCTGAGAAAATAAATTGATTTTATTTAACTTTTCTGTGAAATGCCTGGGTTTTTCTTAAACTGTGGGATATTTTTGGCGAGCAGAGCTCGATTCGAATTGTGTCGATAGACAAAGAGAAAGTTCCGAACGCGAACTGCAAACATGATTTGAACATCCTCGCGTCTTCAAGCAGTATCACCTCTCGGCATTCTCGCGCGAAAGTGGTTCATACTTGAACAAATATAAATTCTTTTGTTGTTCGCAGGAGAGAGTTGTTTTGAACAACAATTGCTCGTTATTTATAATTTAAAAGTAAACCAAAAACCTTGTCCCAAGACAAAAAGCGACAAAAATTATATTTTTGAAAAGTATTACTCGGGTCGTTGTGAAACCATTGAAGTTGAGTGACCAAACAATGTTTCGCGTTGACAATTTTCAATCATGGTTTTTGTTAACGCCATTAATATATTATGTAAGACTGTATTTCAAGGCTTACATCTATGTTTCTGATTTACCGGTTATTTTAGCCTTATAAACTTCAAGTTGGCACAAAATTCACTCATTGTTTAGAATTGAAAAACACCGACGCGAGGACAGTACTTTCCTCGGCATGCACCCGCGCTAGAGGTAAATCTACTGTCTTATTCTTCTTTTTAACACGAAATGCAAGCAATTGGAATTATCTAATTTGCTTCCACTGTGAAAAACAAAATACGTCTCAGCAAGGTTGCTAGAAAGGGCGACCATCTGGTTGTTGTATTCGATTGCATATGAAAAATTCTTTCTAATCCACTGACTTCTAAATTAAGGCCTCTTGACAGTGAGATCTGGAAAAGTGATTTTTAATCAGTAAAATAATCACTAAGAACCCAGATTTCACACAGGAATGCTGTTTGTCAAATATATGGCTTCTCACTGGTCGGTAGTTTATACAAGTTGATAATTTTTGATAATTTCCTTTCCCACCGCAAGTCTGTTTTCGTTTCGCTGTGTCAAAGAACTTCAGATAAGCCAAATCTCCAATGAAAATTTCCCACTTGAGTCTTCATAGCGGAATTGTGACAAAATGGACTCAGTAAAACGCGAGAAAAGTTCACTTTTCAGAGACACTTATGCATCGTATAGCAGTTCAGATAATAAGGCTGCCAAGTCATAAATCACAATGGTATGGCATTGATACTCAGTCGGAGCCGGTGAAAACTTTTATATATTTTTCGTTTTATATTTACATAAATTGTGCAATAACACGCTATTCAAATCTGTCACTACTTTATAACCCTACATTCCGATGTCTCAACAATCAAACTGTATGCCTGTCCAATTTTCCATTTCTCGTTGACTTTTCGACTTTAATCTGTTTAATTTGGGTTTGATCATTCGCTTGACTGGCGGACTTCATTAGTTTTTGTGACCCGGCTCTTGTCATACCGTTCAAAACGTTATTAAAATATCAAGGACAAAGAATTGGTCTTGAATATGGAAATGTTCTCATCCTTTGTTTTTTCCTTTCCAATTCTGCTTTAATTTTTAGCCGAGAGAAAAAATTTTTCCTGTTTTTGGACGATTTCTAAATATTAAAACTAGCTCTGAGATTAAATTAATTCTCATCACCATAAAACTTTTATTGCTTTTGTTTAAAACAGCCAAGTTTAACGCGCGAAAATGTTGGACACGTGAAATATGAAAGCCTCGCTTAACACGCGCGGCGCGACCTCGCGCGTCACTCAAGTCAAAGGAATCGGCGTAAATGAACGACATGCGCGCGTGAGAAAGACTTTTTTTTTCTGGGGTAAACCATAATAAACTACTCAGGCTTGGTAACTGAATGGGAATTACGTTGGCCTAAAAATCTTCTTGCAAGGAGAAATGAAGGAACACTACACGATAAAGACACGCACGCATGCATATCGCGTGTTGCTTCGTGCTCCACGTGCGTTGTGCGGACGAAAACAAGCGAATAAGCGAACGAGCCACCATGGTTAGCCAGAGCGAGAAGAAAAATGGCCCGTGGTGTCGTCGCATTGCCTGATTTTCTTGTGCCTGCTAGACTAACTAATAAAAAGAAAGAATCGGTTTTTTTGGTTAATGGGGGGTAGGGGGGAGGAATGGAACAGGCTCCCGATTGGGGTATACCTTGTTACTTATCCTCATCGTGCCGCGCAGGACACCTAAGGGGATGAGGGAAATTACTTTTTGTGCATCCTTTCTAACGTTAGAAATAAACGCTGCCATGAAGTCTCCACATAGAAAACATACGTCTTATTCTTTTCTGTCTCATCTCGTAAGAGTTGGAATAATAAGCAGCGAAAATTTGTGAAGAAATTCTAGGTTTGGTAGCCTGCATTGCAGGGACAACGGGGAAGGGATAGCCGAAGTACGCGAGGAAGGGTAACGACTTTCCCCACTACCTCCTCCATCTATTCCCTCTCACTCTCCCCGCCTGCTCCGTTTTACTCGTAACATCGACGAATTTACTAAGTCCTGGTTCATACCAGCGACATAAAAACAAGAAAAAGATCAGTTTTTTTCCCTTACGTCATTATGTATCATTCTGTTAGGCCTGGTTCACATTAGCGACATAACGACATCGACATAACGACATAAGGAAAAGATCAGTTTTATCTTTACGTCGTTATGTTCAGGCTGTTATGTTGCTAATATGTCATTATGTCTACAAGTTCACACTACAAACATAACGTCCTTTTTACGTCGAGATAACGTCCTTTTTATGTCGTTCGTGACGATATCGTTACGTCGCTAGTGTGAACCAGGCTTTATGCTGCTATTATGTCATTATGTCAGGATGTTTACACCGCAAGCATAACGTCCTGTCTTAGGTCGTTAGTGTGAACTATGCTTCACAGACTGGGTCCAGTTGTTCGAAGGCTGGATAACACTATCCACCTTTTGATCAAGCCAGGCCTGAGGCCCGTTTCTCGAAGGTCCCGAAACGTTTTCGCACCCGGAAAGCCGTAACAAAATCTAGAACCTTATGATTACAGAGCTGTGTTACTCACATATTTTTAATATGAAGAGAGATTCTCTTCATACAAAAAGTTTCAGGCGTATACACCTCTCTGTTTTCAGATGCTGATTAATTAAAAATTGCTTTGTGGGCCCGAAAAGTTTCCAAGGCTTTCGAAAAACGGATCCCTGCTGGTCGTTAAGAGGGGGTTCAACAGAAGTAGGGAGTACAAACATGTTCCAAGTTTGAAATAAAAATATCGGATCGCAACCATTTTTACAATTGTTTAGTATTTTTAATTACACAGTTTTCAACAGCGAAGTTTATATTGCTGTCCGTGTTACTTTATCAAATTCAAAATCAGGACTGATTGATGATTTGATATCCAACGTGGTTTTCCCATGAACAGGAAATTACACTAAATCTTTCAGCTTCACGTGACACTCGGCTTGAAGGCCGTTCTTCATAACGAAGAAAAAAATCCTGCTATTTCCATTGCAGTAATCGGTCACATTATGTTTGAAATAAAAAGTAAATTACGGCCTACTGGAAAACTAAAAAGCTGTATCTACAATATATATCAGAAACTTTTACAAATCTCCTTTCATTATAAAAAAGATTGTACAGGATTTTAAAAGATGGTCCGCCCCTTTGCTCTGGGTTCCACGATTTACTTAAGAACCTTTTTCTGCGCGGTTCCAATGTTACACTGGTTCACCTGGAGAAAAGAAAAAAAGAAAAACTGTAAGTTAAAGGAGCTACGTCACAGTTTGCGCATCTTAAAAAGTTTAGCCGAATTTTTCAAGTTCGTCGTTTGTAATCCGTGTTAATCTTCTCCATCCTTAACCTTCCTTGTTCCTTTATAGTTTATTATTATCTATTTGGTGTTTTTCTACCTCAGTAAACTACTATTTTCAAGTTTCCTTCAGTAGAAGTAGTTTTGTACGTGGCCCAAATAACTCAAAAATACCGCGACTAAGCTCCTTTAAGTATTTATGTCTGACAAGGTTTGTTTTGAACGTTCAGAAGAAAAACAACAACAGATAGAATAGTTTTAAAATTCGAAGCAAAGGCACGTTTCCAACGCAAAAATATGAGTTACTCTATCACTTTACCTTGGTGGCGAATCGTAAGGAACAAAGTGTCTCCTGAAGGGATTCTTCCTTTGGCGAAATATTTACAAACATCAAACTGTAGAGGGAATAAAATTTAATGATTAGGACAACTTCNAATCGTAAGGAACAAAGTGTCTCCTGAAGGGATTCTTCCTTTGGCGAAATATTTACAAACATCAAACTGTAGAGGGAATAAAATTTAATGATTAGGACAACTTCAGAGCAAGGATAACAGACTATCAAAATCAACCAAAATTTGAACTTTGGTGCAGTACACCAACTGATTTTATTCGCTCGTCATGGGGTTGAATTTTAATCGCTTCAAATTGCTTGCGAGATTGTCACGCGCGCAGGTTATTCTCGGTGGCGTGACACCACAAGCGGAAGACCTCTGATTGGTTGCGACTTTTCCCGCCCTAGAAACACCTTTCAGAGACACTGCACGTGACTCTAGAGCTACGTCATCAGAGGTCACTTGCACGGGGATGGAATGAGAGCGTATCTGATTCGTCTGTTTTATCAAGTTTCGAGGTTTAATAGGATAACTGATAAATCCTAATTCGTATATATTTTTTACCAGTCCTGTGTTGTCGCCATTTTGATTTTACCCATAACCACTACCCAAACAATTCTCGTGATTCTTCGGATGAATATTCCAGTTTCTGGTTAACCTGTACCGCCCGTAAAGTGTTTTAAAAATCTCGCTCCAGTGCTGAAGCGTAAGATGAAACAATGCACAGAGTTGTAGACAGATATTGCTCTTACTTATGTTTCTTATGGTTAAATAGGCCATATTCGTATTCTCGGTATTGGACTGGAACTAGCCTGCAAATGAGGCTAATGCGGGGAGTCCTTCAAATGTAAATGACATTCCCCTGCATAAGCCTCCATTTCAAGCCAGTTCCAGTCCTACAACGAGAATACGAATATGCTCTATAGTTTTTGAAACAGGACTATTCCAAGAGTGTGTAGAACTGTGCTACAAGCGTCTTGTATCAACATCTCACCTTTTACTGTTTCCTCCAAGAGAGTTTTGTAACAGGAAGGTGAGTTTCGAATTCCTGTACGGAATGTGCTGTTCTTTGTTGGCCAGAGCCATGATAACATTTCCCAAGTTACTCAAACTCTTGTTGATGTTCTTCGTTTCTCGTAGTCGTTCCCCAGTGGAACAAGACTGACTCAAGCGTTCAGAGCCCGCCAAGTCAATAAGGTTCAGAGTTCCTACAAGAGAACGTTGGCAAAATTGTAAGCTTACAGGCCTGGCCAAACGGAGACGTAAGTAGAAAACTTGCGTCTACTTACGACTCCGTTTGGTCAGGACTTGCTAGCACCTCTTAAAGGAGCACGGTCACGGTTTGTGCATGTTGAAAAGATTAGCCTCAATTTTTCAAATTCGTCGTTTGTAATCCGTGTTAATCTTCTTCATTTTTAGACATCCTTGTTCCTTTATGGTTTATCATTATATCCTTGGTGTTTTTCCATCTTATCAAACTGTTATTTTCAGGTTTCCTACCATTTAAAGGTAATTTTGTATGTGGCCAAAATAACTCAAAATACCGTGGTCCGGTCAAAAGTCGGTTTTCGCCGCTCGGGAGATTGGTACCAAACTTTCAGCGTGAAAGCGAGGCTCGGGGGGTCAACGCGAGAGCGAGACAGGAACAAAATCCTTACAGTGCAAGGCAGGAAAGCAAAATCTGGAGAAAGGTTCATACGTCTGTTGGCTCAATGTATTCTATACCTTGGCATTTTTCACCAGTGAGATTATTTACGCCGGTAAGCTTTAATCTGAAGACGCTGTGACTCCGTGAGGATCGTTCATTGCACTGCGTGGCGGCTACAGCTCTGTTCTGAGTCGCCTTCTCCAAGAGACTGTACACCTGGAAAATAAAACACAAACACTTCCCCTTACTAACAGTCATCTCAAATGAGAGTTTCCCTTGCTGTTTTTTTTTTTAATAATCATGTACCTACTGGCCGAGGTTCGTCAGGTAAGGTTAACTCGAAATGCTGTGTTACGTTTTGCACAAGCCTCTCACTCGTCTTATACTCACACGCTCGTCACACCTTTCGGAGAGAAAGTGCAACACAAGGCTCGTCACACAAGTTTGCGTTTTGTAAGGTCTCAACAACCTTCCGTCAAACAACAATGTGTCACTCTGCATTACTAACCTGTGTTTCTGACGTGACATTCACGGTCTTGACGTTCGTGACTGTCACTTCGCACGCCCCGCCCGTGCTGCTTGGGTTCACAAGTTTGATTTCGTGTTTTGTATTGGCATCCCCTGAACCCAGCAAGTCTTTGATGGTTTCATTGTAGATCTCCAAGAAGCTGGCTTCAATGGCGTACTAACAGGAGAAAAGTAGGAATAAAAATGAAAGCTCATAAATTAAAGGTAAGCCTGGATGGCAATACCAGTGGGCCTTTATCTCCGAGTTCCCTTGTATGAAGCGAGTAAGAGTATTTCTACTCATTCCCAGTCCTGGGTGAAATATTTTTGGTCAATTGCAGAGCATTTAGATCACCAGTAACCATCGACATATCTGGGTGGGGAGAGGCACAGTGAGAGGGAAGTGTTAGCCTGCAGAACAGGCGGATTAGCGGAGAAGACCGCGAAGCGTGATACACGAGCGCGAAGCGCGAGTAGTAAAGGATTTTTGTCGACTCGCGCTTCGTGCTCGTGTATCGTGTTTCGCTCACCGCCCTGCTAATCCGCATGTTCAGAAGGCTAGGGAAGTGTTTAGTTGAAGACCTCGCCGAGGATTCAAACCCAGACCTGTCGATCTAGAGCACAAAATAAATAAATAAATAAATACTACATAAATTACAATATTTAGAGAGGAAGCCACATCAGCCTTAGCTGGTTTTCGTGCGGGCCGAATTGGAATTTAGAGATGTTAGTTTTTGTGGAGGGAGAACCCGAAGAAAAACCCTCGGAGCAAGGCGAGAACCAACAACAAACTCAACCCACATTTGACACCAGGCCGGAGTCGAACCCGGGCTACATTAGTGGGAGGCGAGCGCTCTCACCACTGCGCTAACCTTGCTCCCCAAACCCTGACCATCACGCCAGCTCTCTCTCCCTATATAAGATTACACACTTCAATCGGAATGTTCGAAAAATCGAGGATAGATTTCTCCTAACTTTTATTGACTGTACAAAGTTACTTCGAATAAAAGGGAGGATCGAAAAATCGGGATTCCACTTGATTATGTTCAGCACGATTTTCAAGATGGTGAAAAGTTGGAAATGAAGAACACGCTAGGGTATTTCGTTCAAGTTCTAGTTAAACTTTTCACCCATTCGCATTTCCTTCTCTGCACTTTACCTTCATCTCAGCGTGGACATGCGACGAAACAACATGTTCTAATTGGGTGACATATTTGATAGCCAAGCATTTCACGTTTTTGATTAATTAACAAGGGCGCAACTTCAAGCTAGGCATTCCTCTTCTGAAATAAGTCGAAAGTTTTGCATTCAACGTTCAACTACACATAAGTACGCCGTTTAAACCTCAAATGTTTGACAGAGAAACTTGTCATCTTTGCACCCAATTAGAACATTTTTTTTCCGTCACGTGTCCACGCTTAGATGAAAACGACGGTTCTTAGCGCTGAAAATTTACTAACGAGCTACAAGCTTAAAATAGGTGAGATATGTCCAGAAATGTAGGAAGCAACGAAAATGGCAGATTTGACGAAATTTTGTTGACGATTTTGACGGATTTGGCGAAATTTGTGAATCTGTGGAAATTTGGGCGAAAGCGACGATTCTGACGAAATTTTGCCAAGGTTGTTGACAAAGTTATGCGAGTGAATAGATATGATCTGGCTAGAAGAGCCCCAAAAAGTTGAAGAATACGGCGAAAATGACGAATTTGGCGAGTGTCGATTCTGACGAAATTTTTGCTAAGATTGCTGCATAAAAATCGTCAAATTTGTCAGCTTGTTAGGCCCATTTCTGATAATGTAATTTGCATAAAAATCGTTAAATTCGCTAACATGTTAGGGCCATTTCTCATGAGATAATTTGCATAGACATGGCTGGCAAAAATTCGTCAAAATCGTCGACTTTGCCGAGCTGATTTAAAGCTGATTTTGCTTTGACGAATTTGACAAAAGTTCGTCAAAATCGTCAAATCCATGAACATTCACTCAGTTCGACAAAATTTCGTCAAATCTGCCATTTTCGTTACTGCCTGCATTTCTGGACATAATGAAGTAGGTAGCCCAAACGTAACAGAAAGCGCGCCTATAATCGTTGCTCACCTGCCAGCCCTTTTCTTTGAGGTCCTGGGACGTCCGGAACACTTGTTCCATGGCCCTCGGAATCATTCCCTGTTTATCGTGGTCCGCAGTGTTCCCCTCCATGGTGTATGTTTTTCCCGAGCCTGTCTGTCCATATGCGAATATACAGACATTGTAACCGTCCAAAGCTGATTGAATCAACTGCGATATTTCACCGAACACATCCTCTTGACTTGAAGAAGGAGTAAACACCCTGTCGAAGGCGAATTCATGCTTAGGGACGGCTTTTTTGGTTCCGCAAATACTCTGTTGGATGATAAAAACCAAACGTGAATATTTTGGTAAAAATATTTTGATGACAAGTCAACTTAAGTCTGGCTTTACCATCCTTTGAAGCATTTTGAAATATTTTAAACCATTTAGAAATACAGTCGAACCTCTGGTAGCGACCACCTCTCCTCAGCGACCAGTTTTCTAAAATACCAAAAGTTTTCAAGTCAGATCACTATACTTGGAACCTCTTGTAAGCGACCATTTCTCTTACGCGACCGCGGCCACTTTTAGAGCTAAAAATTTGAAATTTTCTTTTGTTTTTAACCTCCCGTAAGCGATCACTTGACAGATAATAGGGCGACGATTGGATAAGGTGTTGTAACATTATCGCATTCCTGGGTAGTGCAAGAGACGGAAATTTCTCAGTGGGAAGACAGGGTTTCTTTCCCGAAATTAACTTTTCATGTTAATAAAACATTTAAAACATGGGATAAACCTCTGCAGTTACCATATGCTAATATGGCAAGATTCTGACCCAGTATGGTCGAAGCTCTCGTAAGCGACCACCTAGGCTTGGCATTTTGGGTGGTCGCTTTAGGGAGGTTCGACTGTATTTGAAATATTTGGAAGCATTTTGTGGTCAACAGTTTTGCACGTACAGTTACAAATGTTGGCTGCAAACTTGAAGGGAAGGTAGCCTGTAACCAGGCTCCTGATTGGCTTACAGGGCGTCCAAAAACGGGAGCGAGAAACGAGAGCAATTTGGGGAGGAAAAATGACTCAGTTTGCTTTGTTCTCCTAATTGTTTTGTGTCCTCGCCAGGAGCCTTTTCACGGGCTAAAGAAAAACGCGAGATTTGAAGTGACAGAAAGCGTTACTAGCGGCAGTAGAATTACAGAAGAGACCTCACCTCATTCGGCGACGTTGGTTCCACTACCAGTTCCCTCTCGTCCTGTCCAAAGGAAAACACGCACGGCCGCTGACTTTCTTCTGACGTCAGCATGGGCCGCACGCGACAGAAAACCCGGATGTTGCCTTTCAACTCCTGAATGGTGTTATGAAGCTCACGCCGGATCGTTTCTTCGGAACGCAGTTTGGATTCCAGACCAGCCACGTGTTCTCTAAGACCTCGTATCGTCTCTTCGAGTTTTGCTATTGTCTCGCTTTTTTGTTGACTTTCGTTGAGGGTTTTTTCAAGATTGACCTTTTGGAAAGACGTCAATGGTGATATTTTGAATGAGTAGAGTTATTTGCTAGGGCGCTCATGTCCTTGTGAATGGAGTGAGACGTCGNAAGTAGAAAACTTGCGTCTACTTACGACTCCGTTTGGTCAGGACTTGCTAGCACTTCTTAACTTTGGTCAGGTCAAAAGCCGTCGAAAGGTTTTCGCCGCTCGGGCGCGGGAGATTGGTACCAAAATTTCAGCGTAAAAGCGAGGCTCGGGGGGGATCAACGCGAGAGCGAGACAGGAACAAAATCCTTACAGTGGAAGGCAGGAAAGCAAACTCTGGAGAAATGTTCATACGTTTGTTGGCTCAATGTATTCTGTACCTTGGCATTTTTCACCAGTGAGATTATTTTCGCCGGTAAGCTTCAATCTGAAGACGCTGTGACTCCGTGACGATCGTTCATTGCACTGCGTGGCGGCTACAGCTCTGTTCTGAGTCGCCTTCTCCAAGAGACTGTAAACCTGGAAAATAAAACACAAACACTTCCCCTTACTAACAGTCATCTCAAATGAGAGTTTCCCTTGCTGTTTTTNATGTTGAAAAGATTAGCCTCAATTTTTCAAATTCGTCGTTTGTAATCCGTGTTAATCTTCTTCATTTTTAGACATCCTTGTTCCTTTATGGTTTATCATTATATCCTTGGTGTTTTTCCATCTTATCAAACTGTTATTTTCAGGTTTCCTACCATTTAAAGGTAATTTTGTATGTGGCCAAAATAACTCAAAATACCGTGGTCCGGTCAAAAGTCGGTTTTCGCCGCTCGGGAGATTGGTACCAAACTTTCAGCGTGAAAGCGAGGCTCGGGGGGTCAACGCGAGAGCGAGACAGGAACAAAATCCTTACAGTGCAAGGCAGGAAAGCAAAATCTGGAGAAAGGTTCATACGTCTGTTGGCTCAATGTATTCTATACCTTGGCATTTTTCACCAGTGAGATTATTTACGCCGGTAAGCTTTAATCTGAAGACGCTGTGACTCCGTGAGGATCGTTCATTGCACTGCGTGGCGGCTACAGCTCTGTTCTGAGTCGCCTTCTCCAAGAGACTGTACACCTGGAAAATAAAACACAAACACTTCCCCTTACTAACAGTCATCTCAAATGAGAGTTTCCCTTGCTGTTTTTTTTTTTAATAATCATGTACCTACTGGCCGAGGTTCGTCAGGTAAGGTTAACTCGAAATGCTGTGTTACGTTTTGCACAAGCCTCTCACTCGTCTTATACTCACACGCTCGTCACACCTTTCGGAGAGAAAGTGCAACACAAGGCTCGTCACACAAGTTTGCGTTTTGTAAGGTCTCAACAACCTTCCGTCAAACAACAATGTGTCACTCTGCATTACTAACCTGTGTTTCTGACGTGACATTCACGGTCTTGACGTTCGTGACTGTCACTTCGCACGCCCCGCCCGTGCTGCTTGGGTTCACAAGTTTGATTTCGTGTTTTGTATTGGCATCCCCTGAACCCAGCAAGTCTTTGATGGTTTCATTGTAGATCTCCAAGAAGCTGGCTTCAATGGCGTACTAACAGGAGAAAAGTAGGAATAAAAATGAAAGCTCATAAATTAAAGGTAAGCCTGGATGGCAATACCAGTGGGCCTTTATCTCCGAGTTCCCTTGTATGAAGCGAGTAAGAGTATTTCTACTCATTCCCAGTCCTGGGTGAAATATTTTTGGTCAATTGCAGAGCATTTAGATCACCAGTAACCATCGACATATCTGGGTGGGGAGAGGCACAGTGAGAGGGAAGTGTTAGCCTGCAGAACAGGCGGATTAGCGGAGAAGACCGCGAAGCGTGATACACGAGCGCGAAGCGCGAGTAGTAAAGGATTTTTGTCGACTCGCGCTTCGTGCTCGTGTATCGTGTTTCGCTCACCGCCCTGCTAATCCGCATGTTCAGAAGGCTAGGGAAGTGTTTAGTTGAAGACCTCGCCGAGGATTCAAACCCAGACCTGTCGATCTAGAGCACAAAATAAATAAATAAATAAATACTACATAAATTACAATATTTAGAGAGGAAGCCACATCAGCCTTAGCTGGTTTTCGTGCGGGCCGAATTGGAATTTAGAGATGTTAGTTTTTGTGGAGGGAGAACCCGAAGAAAAACCCTCGGAGCAAGGCGAGAACCAACAACAAACTCAACCCACATTTGACACCAGGCCGGAGTCGAACCCGGGCTACATTAGTGGGAGGCGAGCGCTCTCACCACTGCGCTAACCTTGCTCCCCAAACCCTGACCATCACGCCAGCTCTCTCTCCCTATATAAGATTACACACTTCAATCGGAATGTTCGAAAAATCGAGGATAGATTTCTCCTAACTTTTATTGACTGTACAAAGTTACTTCGAATAAAAGGGAGGATCGAAAAATCGGGATTCCACTTGATTATGTTCAGCACGATTTTCAAGATGGTGAAAAGTTGGAAATGAAGAACACGCTAGGGTATTTCGTTCAAGTTCTAGTTAAACTTTTCACCCATTCGCATTTCCTTCTCTGCACTTTACCTTCATCTCAGCGTGGACATGCGACGAAACAACATGTTCTAATTGGGTGACATATTTGATAGCCAAGCATTTCACGTTTTTGATTAATTAACAAGGGCGCAACTTCAAGCTAGGCATTCCTCTTCTGAAATAAGTCGAAAGTTTTGCATTCAACGTTCAACTACACATAAGTACGCCGTTTAAACCTCAAATGTTTGACAGAGAAACTTGTCATCTTTGCACCCAATTAGAACATTTTTTTTCCGTCACGTGTCCACGCTTAGATGAAAACGACGGTTCTTAGCGCTGAAAATTTACTAACGAGCTACAAGCTTAAAATAGGTGAGATATGTCCAGAAATGTAGGAAGCAACGAAAATGGCAGATTTGACGAAATTTTGTTGACGATTTTGACGGATTTGGCGAAATTTGTGAATCTGTGGAAATTTGGGCGAAAGCGACGATTCTGACGAAATTTTGCCAAGGTTGTTGACAAAGTTATGCGAGTGAATAGATATGATCTGGCTAGAAGAGCCCCAAAAAGTTGAAGAATACGGCGAAAATGACGAATTTGGCGAGTGTCGATTCTGACGAAATTTTTGCTAAGATTGCTGCATAAAAATCGTCAAATTTGTCAGCTTGTTAGGCCCATTTCTGATAATGTAATTTGCATAAAAATCGTTAAATTCGCTAACATGTTAGGGCCATTTCTCATGAGATAATTTGCATAGACATGGCTGGCAAAAATTCGTCAAAATCGTCGACTTTGCCGAGCTGATTTAAAGCTGATTTTGCTTTGACGAATTTGACAAAAGTTCGTCAAAATCGTCAAATCCATGAACATTCACTCAGTTCGACAAAATTTCGTCAAATCTGCCATTTTCGTTACTGCCTGCATTTCTGGACATAATGAAGTAGGTAGCCCAAACGTAACAGAAAGCGCGCCTATAATCGTTGCTCACCTGCCAGCCCTTTTCTTTGAGGTCCTGGGACGTCCGGAACACTTGTTCCATGGCCCTCGGAATCATTCCCTGTTTATCGTGGTCCGCAGTGTTCCCCTCCATGGTGTATGTTTTTCCCGAGCCTGTCTGTCCATATGCGAATATACAGACATTGTAACCGTCCAAAGCTGATTGAATCAACTGCGATATTTCACCGAACACATCCTCTTGACTTGAAGAAGGAGTAAACACCCTGTCGAAGGCGAATTCATGCTTAGGGACGGCTTTTTTGGTTCCGCAAATACTCTGTTGGATGATAAAAACCAAACGTGAATATTTTGGTAAAAATATTTTGATGACAAGTCAACTTAAGTCTGGCTTTACCATCCTTTGAAGCATTTTGAAATATTTTAAACCATTTAGAAATACAGTCGAACCTCTGGTAGCGACCACCTCTCCTCAGCGACCAGTTTTCTAAAATACCAAAAGTTTTCAAGTCAGATCACTATACTTGGAACCTCTTGTAAGCGACCATTTCTCTTACGCGACCGCGGCCACTTTTAGAGCTAAAAATTTGAAATTTTCTTTTGTTTTTAACCTCCCGTAAGCGATCACTTGACAGATAATAGGGCGACGATTGGATAAGGTGTTGTAACATTATCGCATTCCTGGGTAGTGCAAGAGACGGAAATTTCTCAGTGGGAAGACAGGGTTTCTTTCCCGAAATTAACTTTTCATGTTAATAAAACATTTAAAACATGGGATAAACCTCTGCAGTTACCATATGCTAATATGGCAAGATTCTGACCCAGTATGGTCGAAGCTCTCGTAAGCGACCACCTAGGCTTGGCATTTTGGGTGGTCGCTTTAGGGAGGTTCGACTGTATTTGAAATATTTGGAAGCATTTTGTGGTCAACAGTTTTGCACGTACAGTTACAAATGTTGGCTGCAAACTTGAAGGGAAGGTAGCCTGTAACCAGGCTCCTGATTGGCTTACAGGGCGTCCAAAAACGGGAGCGAGAAACGAGAGCAATTTGGGGAGGAAAAATGACTCAGTTTGCTTTGTTCTCCTAATTGTTTTGTGTCCTCGCCAGGAGCCTTTTCACGGGCTAAAGAAAAACGCGAGATTTGAAGTGACAGAAAGCGTTACTAGCGGCAGTAGAATTACAGAAGAGACCTCACCTCATTCGGCGACGTTGGTTCCACTACCAGTTCCCTCTCGTCCTGTCCAAAGGAAAACACGCACGGCCGCTGACTTTCTTCTGACGTCAGCATGGGCCGCACGCGACAGAAAACCCGGATGTTGCCTTTCAACTCCTGAATGGTGTTATGAAGCTCACGCCGGATCGTTTCTTCGGAACGCAGTTTGGATTCCAGACCAGCCACGTGTTCTCTAAGACCTCGTATCGTCTCTTCGAGTTTTGCTATTGTCTCGCTTTTTTGTTGACTTTCGTTGAGGGTTTTTTCAAGATTGACCTTTTGGAAAGACGTCAATGGTGATATTTTGAATGAGTAGAGTTATTTGCTAGGGCGCTCATGTCCTTGTGAATGGAGTGAGACGTCGTCCACATTACGCCGGTGGAATTTGAAAACACAACAATCACCGGTCATTTTGGATTTGTGTTTGAGGAAAACTCGGTCACGGAAATCGCATGACTATCCTGACACAATCGTTTTCGAAAAGCTCCGTTTTCAAAACGTTTTCCGTCCAGACGAAAACGCAAGGCCGGCATTTTCAAATTCCTCCGGTTTGAAGAGCGTTTCCCAGAAAGCTCCGTTTTCGGGACGGATCAGTGTGGACGGTAGGCCCAACCACAGAAAAAAAAAGCTGCGTTTTCAAATTTCTCCGACGTAGTGTGGACGCTTCTTGAGGGACCTGGAGACAGCTAAAACGAATTCGAGCTAAAACATTCTACAATGATGACGTTGTTCTGTAGAGATCCGTGCGTTGTCTCTGATTGGTTGTTGATTGCGCGCGAAAATTGGTACTCTAGCAACAACCAATCAGAGAAATCGCACGGATCTGTGTAGTTGTAGGTCATCGGCAGTACGGATTTTTTTTGTCGAATCTTTGACGTTTTTTACGCTGTTGATGAACGCGTTAAAAAGAGGACGCGATGAGAGGCGACTCGTCAGGCTAAAGTTTCCAAGTCCGTCGTTTGTAATCCGTGTTAATCTTCTCCATCCTTGTAACTTTATGATTTAAATTTATCTTTTTGGTGTTTTTCTACCTTAATAAACCATTATTTTCAGGTTTCCTTCAATTTCAAGGCAGTTTTGTACGTGGCCATTGGCCAAAGTAACTCAAAACACCTTGACTAAACTCCTTTTACGCGAAGGGAAAACTTACGGAGAACAGAAAAGACAATAAGAGAGTAAACGAGGGGTATATTGGGAACAGATAATGAACCCTATGGACAAAAGTAAACCGACCTTTGTGGCCTGTAACTCAGTGGTTATACCCAGGGAATCAGCCGTCATTTTCGCCACGGTCGATTTCAGGGCTATGACCTCTTGTTTGGAGATGTTCAGCTCATTTTCAAGCGAGTCTTTTTCTTGTTGTAGACATTTCTTGGCCCTTTTCTCAACTTCTAGTTCGAACTCGTGTTTCAGTTGAAGAGATCTCACTTCTTCCTCGGCGTTGGTGATTTTGAACTGAAGATCCTGAATCTTCGCTGTGGCCTTACAAGAAAAGGTGAAAAAGGATGGAAATCAGGACCGTACTTAGAAAACGCACAAAATCTACTTTTACGAATGAAAATCAGGGCTTCAGACAGAAAAACATTAAGACTGAGGCAAATGTCTATGAAAAAATTATGACCGAGACAATTTCCATAGGTAAATTCTCTCCCTATGGGTAATTAGAAGCTTTTTAACTTTCCTCAAAAAAGGAACTAAAGAAACGAAAAAATGGCTGAGGCAAGTGCCTCGATTTGCCTCATACTGGCTACGTTACTGAAAGACGAACTAGCTGATAAATGAGTTTACAAGTTTATCAGCGAATAAACAGCATAGTGAGAGAATAAAAGGATTGAGCAAGCCGATACGTGAATGAGAAAGGACGAAAAAAGTGAACGGAAGGAGGAGAGGAAGAAAGCACGGAATAGGAAAAGAGGGATAAAAAGAGAATTAAAGAAAGGTGCGTACGTCTGCTGTTTTTCTTCGTCCAGACAGTCTACTGTCTTGGAAAAGAGAATTATTTTACCTCTCAATCGTCCACGGAGTGTCCAGTGTCAATTACTCAGACTATCTATCTGTATATGGGGTTAGCGTTAACAGTCGATAGCGAAGTGCGAATGTTAGATTAAAAAAATGCCATCGGATTCTTAATCAGCCTTTAATGGAATGAAAAAAAAATGTTATTTCTGGAGCGTCAACTATGAAAACGCATTTGGGGAAAACTGTGATATGGCTCTGGCCCAGTGTGCCCAAGAAAAGAAAACAAAAGGACACACAGAAGTAAAAGCTACCTCTTCCGTTTGTTGATGTTTGACTTGCACTGTACCCTCGAGTTGTTTGTTTAAAGATTCCAGAAATCCTATTCTACCCTGGTTATCGCCAATTGTCTTTGTCATGTCCTCCATGTAAGATTTGGACTTTAACATCAACTCCTCCATGTCCTCCAGTCTCCCTTTGTAGTCCCAAGCGGGCCTTTTCTTTCCTGACACAGAAAAGAGGAAAATTAACGTCCTTAGCGTATGTGAGTACGGATTCTTCAACCCAAAAAGCAAACAGACAATTCAAAGAAGACATTGGCTCTCGATGAAGGAATAACAAAAAGCGCAAAAAAGGTCTTTTCAATTAGTTTAAGGCTTTGGATTGCTTCTTTGCGGTTCCTTTGGAATAGAGAAGTGTACCCAAAAACAACGCATGTCGACGGAGCTGTTTGTATTTGAGTGACGAAATGTAATTGGTTTAGCTCTAACTACGCCACACGATTGGCTTAAAAAACTCGCGCCACTTTTTCAACCAATCAGAAGTAAAACCAAAACCAATTGTGACTTGTTCGCACACGTTTTCCCGCGCTTTGCGTCGGCTACATGTAATTACTTGAAGTTTTGATTGGCTCACTGGATTGCCTGTGTCCTTTGTGATTGGCTAGAGTGATTACTTTGGTTTTGGTTTTATGACACTCAATTGAAAATCACTCTCTAGAAGTATCAGCGTGACGAAATCCGAACTAAAAACATCTGATAAAATTAAAGCTTTCACTTTTCTCCTTACCTGACGTATGAGACCAGAACATTTTCCCCCTTAAATGTGCGTGTTCATTTAGTGCCCTTTCGTCTACAAAACACACTGTAACATTCAGAAAGTTACCTTTTAGGCCAGACAATGGTTCAGAGGTAGGCGCCTTGGAATGAACATTCCTAGTTGTACTTGTTGGTGGTTTAGAAGCTATAGTCTGTCTCTTGGTCGCAGAAGATAGTTGTCCTGCTGCTGGTCGAGCCTGTGTTGAGGTGGCAACTCTTTGCACAGTACTCGTTGTAGTTTGACGTCTTAAAGTTGCAGAGACAGCTGACCTAGTTGTTACTGTTTTGTCTTGTGAGGCAGACTTCAAAGAGGTTTGGGATGTGGATTTCTTCATTTTGGGCGGCGGCTGCAATGGAAGGGTATTATCAAAATGCCAACAAGTAACAAGTTACATAGCCTCCTCACGTTAAAAAAACAAAACAAAAACAATAATAACAACAACAACAAAAGCCGTAACTATGATATACTAGCCTGAAAGTTATTCTCAATAGCCCACAAAATATTTATTACTTATTCCTTACTTAAAATTTCTTCTTGCCCGTCAGGCAAGCAAAGGACAGAATCCAGTAGCCAGGCTGAAAAATCAGCTAGCCCCAGGATAGTGGATACGGCTTTCTTTGCACTGTGCTTCTATGCACATGCTTTTTAAGCGCATCACACGATCTTTTGTGAGGGAGGAAAGATTGTGTGATGCACCCAAGGATCACCTGTACAGGAGGCTACTAGTTACAAGGCACCTCTTGATGCTAATAGTCATATAGCTACTACATGCATTTATGCCTTACATGCCTATAGCTGTGTCTCTCTTGTGGAATGCACATCATGACAGCTGACAATATGTGACAGCTGTCTTTGATGGGTACTAAATTAGCCAATATTCAGTAATAGCAACAGGCAAAGAGATTTTGCAGTCAGGTGAGTGGATTCTGTCTTTCACTTGCCTATTATGACTGTCTTGAAGTGATTGCACGAACCTGTATTAAGTGGCCAACCTCTATTAGGTGACCGCCTCACATTTCCTAGAGGGTGGCCGCTTACTAGGGGTTTGACTGTGCTGTAATTGAGGAGTCCTTACCACTGATTTAGACTTTCTCTCCATGTTTTTAACAAGTAATATTTTGTGTGGGGTGGAGGACACTGATTGATGTACCCTAATGCTCCCTAAGGGACAGGAAGTACCCTGTTGCTATGGTAACATAGTGAGTCAAGAAAATGATAATAACATGTTCACAATTGATTGGGTGGTTTGTTGACACCACGACTGTAGCATGAATTGATAAAGAGTGGTTATAATGACTCATCAAAATCTAAGTTTTGGAATGTGCTGGAAACTATTGACAGTCTGTGTTCAGGCATTGATTTTTTGTGGTGGTGAGAGAGAGAAAAAATACGGATTTACAGACGACTCATCTAGCAATTGTATCAGGTGTTTCTTACTCTACCTCTCTCCCTTCACTGCAAGCAATAAGAATGCATGATCACAGGTTATAGTCAATGGTAAGGAATTTTTCAGATTGAAATTGAAATCAAATTTCTCTTGTATCTTAGGTATGGAGAGAATCAAGAATTGAGTATGCAAAGTGTGGCATCTGAAAAGTGGTACTATATTCAAATTTTACCCCTTGATTTTTTAGGTGTATCACATAGAATTCCATGAAAGAATAAAATTGTCATTTACCGTTGTCAAATATCTGCATTAGTTCCGGAGATATTTAAGTTTGAAAAATGTGTAAAATATGCAAATGAGATGTCTGATGAYGTCATACACTCAACCCAATATTATATTAAATATATAAATGGAGCTATCTTGGTCATTTTGCAGCAGAATCCATTGAAACTTGGTAGGCTAATTGTTCTACAGGAAATACACCTACAGCTGTAAAAAATTCTGTTCCCATGGCAACTCACTCTTTTCCAGTTCCCACCCACTTGATTTCAATATGTTAGTGATTTTCAGCTTGAAAAATGTTAAGCAAGGTCACGAACGCGACCTAACATATTTATATGCTTGCTGGATCGTGCATATGAGGCACCATTAGCAAATATCAAAATGGATCGCCAAAGGTGGCCAGAAAAGCTTTTAATATTGGAGAAGTCTGGAACCCAGTATGTTGCCATGGTAACAAAACTGTTAAGCTCGTATTGTGGAGCACATTTAGTAGAGTCTTACTGCAAAGAATCAAACATTTCTGATACAAATTGGCTGAGATATCTTTCTTCATCATATTTGATCAAAATTTGGTTGAGTGTATGACGCCCATCATTTGGCTAATTTGCATATTTTAAAAACTTGAATATCTCAGGAACGAAAAGAGACATTTGAAAATGGTAAACCGCATTTTCCTTCTCATACAGACTACTTGTTTATGTTTTAAAATGGCTTAGATAGGAGAGATGCGATTTTTGTCATAGTCCCACTTTAAGATAGAATACATTCTATTCAATCTTAGTCCTGCATACAAACCTCACAGTTGGGTGGAGCAGAATTTGTGAATGCCTGTTCACGAGGCCTCTTGACAGCTGATGGTGGTCTCAGTTTACTGACAAATTTGGGCTTGACCATTTGCCTGCTGGCCATGATATTTTGATCTTGGGTTGATAGTGGGGAACGCTGAAGAAAGTAAAAGGGGGTTTTATAGTCAAACAGCAGTGCTGCATATACTGTTGAACCTTACTAATTTGAAGTGTGGAGGGAAACAATAAACAGTTCAAGATGGCAGGGGTTAAAGATAGCCAATAGCAAATAAATTATCCAGAGGAGACTAATTTGAGTTTGTGTTTCAGATTGTGAGGAATTCATGATAACTGATTTCAAGATAATGAGGTTTAACTGCCCAATCATACATCAAGATAGACAGTTAGAACAGAACATGCATTAAAATTCATATCAGTCCTAAGAGTTTGATCAGACAACTTGTCATGTTGACTGCGAACACAGATGGATTTCCAGCTTTTGTTTCACACTTTGTTCGCCAGGCTGCTCGTAATGAAATTTTTGGCTTCATTTAGAAAAGTCTACTGGAAATACATTTGAAAGTTTGGGAGAATACGAAAATGCTTGCAAATAGCTCCAGTTTTTTGAATTCCCTCAAACATGTTCTCGTGATTGCAGCAGCCCATGTAAACATGCATGCATATATTTTCTATTGTTTTTTTTGTTTCATGAAAGGCATCCATAATCTTCATGCAGTTGGGTCTTATGCACAGTGCAGTAAGCATACTAATTCTATTTGACAGTATTGAATGCAGAACTAGTTTTTATAAGTTTCAATTATTGGTTCCAGTGTGGAAACTGTATATTACAGTAACTTACCACTTGCACTTCGGTAACATCCATTTTTCACTGCTTCTAGTCTTGGGCTCAGTACATGTAAAAACCAATGAATGTCTAAAGAAGATACAAAGCAGGTTATGTAAGCAAACAACTTTATGGTAATTTTTTTTCACTTCACAGATTTTAACGAGGAAAAGATTTGTTTCATCAAGACACACTTCATATATCCAGTCCCTTTTCGATTTCTCTCTAATCATCAGCATTTAGTGAATAACATTATCAGTAAGCTAACGAACGATTCTTGGATCAAAAGATCGTGCAACGAGCGAGCTCAAAGACAAATGCACATTTCTTCGAAGATTTGGAATTTGTTTTGGTCTCATGATAATACCAAGATTATGAAAATAAGGAATAGAAAAATGAAATAAGATTTCAATTTAATAAGAGACGAAGAGTCGGTGGTGACTCAACCTTTCAAAACGCCCTGAGAGTGCAGGCATTACATTCAGACCACAACTGACCAATGCAACATGGCGGCTCGCCAGACAGAGTGCGAACTTCATGTCAAAGGACTTACCAAAACGTAGGCAGGTATCCAGAAATGAACTCGTAAAAACTAACAACACGGCTGAAGAGAACTTATAAAACTAAAAGCTAAGGCGATCAGCAACCGCGTAAAGGTAGACACGTTTCTTCTTTGCAGTCAGTTCAAAAACTCGCCGAAGACGATAAACGAACTTTTCGTTCATGTGATTGGTTGTTTGGAGATTTGAACTTCCCGCAAATAGTGCAAGGAATTCTGGGTGCGAATGAATTGGAAAGAAAAAGAAAAAAAGAAAATAAAAATAGAGAAAATAAAATGAAATAAAAAATTTCTCGATCAGAATCCTGATTGAATTTAAAAAGCTGTCGTCTGATAATGCGCTTAGTAGTAATTTTAGAGGCAACGCTCCCTGATTCTTTGAAAAACATTTCTAAAACAAACATCATAAAATAATAAACAACGGTTTCTAAATTGGAATGCCATATTAAAATAGCCTCGTCTTCTTTAAAATTGAAAGAAAACCGCAATTGCGTTCTGGTCTAAGAGGTTTAAAATTTTGTTTATGAATGCGACGCCACGAAAATCTCTTCAGGCCGAGTGCGATTCACTCGGAAAAAATTTCCGCTAACGAGGGCTTTTGAAAAATGACAAATGTCTTGAAGTTCAATTTTTCAAAGAAGCATTGCCTCGCTGCCGGTACTTGAAATTTTACAAAAGCTTCGTTTTGCAGATATGAAAACCAGCTTTGTTTTGACGCTTCGTTTGGTTGTGCTTGAAATGTAAATCAGGCGGCATCTTGTGTTCGTTCACTTCTCCAGACGCGAGGGATAAAAGGTATTCTTTTTCGGCATCTTTGAGCCTTATTTAGCGAAAGCCTTTGTTGTTTCCGACCGATAAAATAGCCCCATTTGCGATTGGCTCTATTACAATAGCGCCAATTTTCTCTTATTTCTTCACGAATGACCTGTAATCATTTGGCCGCCAAAGGTTGAAAGAAAGTGACATCTGTTTCACTCGCCAGCCAATCAGAGCGCTCATATCCGAGCCAATTTCCATAATTGGACACATTGACAAAACCCGACAGTGGGGTTTGTTGTTTGCAGATATGCACAAGAAACATGGATGGGGCAGAGAGACGAGGCTTCGTTATGTTGATTTTTCTCCTTGTTATGTCTTCAGTGGGTAAGTGAACATAACGGAAATACAACTTAGGGAAACATTAAACTTTCACAGTGACGTTAGAAGATAGATTTGGTTTGTTAGCTTCTTTAAAGATTAAAAGCTCGGTTGTTCTGCTTCGATGGTTTGGTAGTTGTACGGGCAACCAATGATGAAAATATAGTGTCTACGAAAGTACTCGTTATTTGACGCCAACTTTGAACCCTTGAAGTAGCTACTTCTTCATTTCCTTTGGGGTTTGTCTTTTGGATAGGAGCGATAAAGTATTATAAGATCTGACGTGGTTTTGGTCGAGCATGTCGAATTTAAGCTTTACCTCAACCACTATTGGCATAAAATTTCACTTTGGGCTTGCTCCAGAACGTAAGACTTGTTGTTCCCTGAACAGATTCTCTAACATTGAAATGCGTGCATATTTCAATAGTCAGCAAGTTAAATCTCTGCTTAGGGAAAACTCTCGATACTCTTTACCACAGTTGAATATAATTAATGTTTTTTACCAGTTGAACAAGGCACATCGATTCTGCTTTCCCAGAGTTGCTTTCATTTCACGCTGTGTTCGATTTACGCATCTCGCGGTACATAAGCTTAGATTTTCTTGACAGGTTTCATTTTCCATGCTTGGCTATTAAAACTTAAGAATTAAGCTTACGACTTCTTTTCTGCCATCACCTAGCCGCAAATCTCAATATTATTGAATTCAAAGAAGAGAGTTGGCAGAGATCACGAAAGCGCCTGTAGTGGTGACAATTTGTGTTCTTCTTTAGTTTGTTTTCTTCAATCTCTTTGTCGGCTCGTATTTCTCTAAACTGCTAACGACTAAAGTATGCTTATAAGCTTCAAGCCTGAACTTAGGTTACCTGAAATAAAAGGATTATATTCTACAAGAATGTAAAATCCCCTGCACTCAAATGTATGAGAAGATAACATTGTCTGTTTGCTTTCTCAGTCACACATGTAAAATCTTTCATGTGGGAGAGCGTTTGCTTTTCGCTCGTCGTTTCGCCCGAGGCGGTTTACTGTTTTGAATATTTCACCAGTCAAACGCAGTTGGCTGGTTTTGATATCATGAGAAGCAATTTACATTGAATTAGTCACTACTTCATCTAAACATGAGATAGCTTGATAAACACTGATACTTAAAACAGATAAATGGGGTCAATTCCTCGATATTTGAACTCAGCCCGTGCTTTGAAGAAATTGCAGCGTATTTCTCGTGACTTCTCCTTTGCGTGCAATATATCTGCTGGCAGGCCATGCTAAAGCGATTTCCTGCACCGTCTAAGGGTCAATTTAAAATCTTTTGGGCAATTTCCTGTTCCATGACCCTGTT